TTCCTCCCTTTCTCGTTTTCATCAGCTATGTCACCAGACACTAAATATCCCTTATAAAGCTAATAAAAATATACCCTTCGATAAAACCCTGCATATTAGTCGTGCGTATGTCTATATTAAAGCCATATTAAACATATATAGAACTATATTAGGTCATAGTAAACAGTCGACCACTACTCCTATAATTTCACATTAACAAGAACAATATGATACATGATTCAATAGTAATTTGACAGTTTTGATTGTGACTTACCATTGAATGCTTCTTACTCCTGATATATATTCATCTTTTCCAGCTCTTAGTCCAGACAACGATGGTAAGCCTCCTGAAAAATACGTCGGAACTGTGCGACCGCCCCATTACAGCTGGCCAGATAGACTGACAACCAACAACTAGAGCAAACCGAAATTTACCCAACAGGAAAATAATTTCAAGGTCAGGCCGATATCAAAGTTCTTCAATTGCCATGAAGGACATATTATTCATGCCCCCGAAAACTACCAAACTGCAAACTTCAATTTTTATATTGTACACATCGTTATTTTTTGAAACTTTTGCTATTATTTTCCCTTATAACTGAGGTTTTTTTTAACTTAAAACAAACTCTCAATTCGCGCTCTTTTGGCTAACCAGGCACCCGAAGCAAATGAAGTCAAAGTGCAGTTGAAATTGACGAGTTTGTTTTAGGTTTTTTTCCTGAGTTCAAAGGGGACTGACAGTGCCCAAGGGGCGCTACAATAAACCTATTCTATTCTATTCTAAACCATGATTCCAGTAGCTCCCGGCTCACGTGGTTGTCACATCTTGCAAGAATTTCGGCCTCATCGAATTTGAATGTGTGGCCGGATCTCGTCGAATGAGCCGCAACTTGAGAGCTGGCGTCATTTCTGCGCACCGCTGCCGCGTGTTCGGCCATTCTCATTCGGACCTTTCTTCCGGTCTCTCCGACGTATTTGCTTTGTCCGCAACTGCACCAGATCCGATAAACGACTCCAGACGTTTCTAGCCGTGGCAGTGGGTCTTTCGGTTTCATGACCAGACGCCTGATGGTTGCCTCCGGTCTGTGTGCAACTTCAACTCCAAATGGTGCGAGAAGACGGCCGACAGCTTCCGAAACGTTCTTGACATACGGAACTGCCCACCAAGGTTTGGTGTCCGTGCGGTTAGGCCTTTCGTCCCTTTTGCTTATGCGCCGGTCGACGAAGTTGCGCGGGTAGTTATTGGCTTTGAATACCCGTCGGAGGTATTGCAGTTCGGCAATTTTGTCTTCCGGCTCACTGCAGTGCGTTTCGACACGCCGATAGAGCGTCCTTACACAACTGCGTTTGTGGCTGATTGATTGGTTGCTTTTGAAGTTCAGTACTTATATCGCACTTGTCGCTTTCGTGAACACTTTGGTTTTTAGTTCACCACAATCTTTGCGGCATACGAGGATATCCAGGAAGGCCAGCTGGTTGTTCTCTTCTCCCTTCATCGTAAATTTTATGTCCGGGAAGACCGCATTCAGACGTTCCTTGAATGTCAGCAGTTGATCCCGGTCGATAACGACGTAGGTATCATCCAAATACCGGGCCCAGAACGTCGGTTTGTGGTGTTGGAAGACCAGCGACTCTAACCGTTGCAGGACCGCCTCGGCGATGAATCCTGAAATCGGCGAACCCCTTGGTGTGCCCTTCACCTGTTCGCAGATTGTCCCGTCGAACGTGAAGTACGTCCTGAGATAGAACCTCAGGAGCTGAAGGACTTGGGCGTGTCCATGACGGTTCTCCATTTCATCGTATTTGCTTAGCTTGGCATTCAATAAAATAGTACCTAATGTGTTTCGAACAGCAAGGTTAATGTCAACGGTATAAAGAAAAAAATTGGAGGCGAATACATAAGTTTTGAATAAATGATGCTTAAATTTAAATTTAAATTTAATTTATTAAATGCCAGTTTACAGGCATTGTCAAGGGAAGCGATTAAACACAAATCCGACCAGCAGTGAAAAAAAACTCCTGAAGAATAAAAATATAGTTGATGATGTTTTTTATGGTTTGAAGGGTTCAGGAGAAAAAAAACTGCTGGCGGCATACATTCGATCGTCAAGAAGGGGGGTGGGGGGGGGGTTGCACGGTATCGGAGATCATCGGCCGTCAATTCCTTTCATGAAGTTGGGGATGGTCAAAGTAGAGGCGTTGAGGAACAGCTGGTGAGACCGGCCATAGTGTTCAGAGACCACAAACGCCATCGCTACGGTACAGTCGATCAGTGGATTCAGAA